TGCTTCTCCCTCTGTAAAGTTGCCCTTTGACTGTGTATTTTCTCCCAGTAAGGAGTGCACTGTAGACTTAGGTCCCCAAGTAAATGAACAAACCCTCTGCCAGTTAGGGCTAAAACTCATTTTAAAAAAAAAAAGAAAAAAAAGAAGAGGGAAGAGGGGGAGGGGGAGGGGAGGAAAGGAGGGGAGGAGAAGAGGAGAAGAAGAAGGAGATGAAGATGAGGAGGAGGAGGACAGGAAGAGAAGAAGCGGCAAAGAGGAGGAGGGGAAGAGGAGGAGGGGAAGAGGAGGAGAAGAGGAGGAGGAGAAGAGGAGGAGGAGAAGAGGAGGAGGAGAAGAGGAAGCAATAAGGAAGGAAAGAGGAAGCAAAGGAAAGAAAAAAAAAGCTGCTACCACAGCTTCCGGGCCACTGAAATGGCCAGGCCTGTCCATGTGTCCTGGCTTCAGCTGGGGTAGAGTTAATTTTCTTCCTAGTAGCTGGCATAGCACTGTGTTTTGGATTTAGGATGAGAAGAATGTTGGTAACTCACTGATGTTTCAGTTGTTGCTAAGCAGGGCTTACACCAGCCAAGGACTTTTCAGCTTCTCCTGCTCTGCCAGGTGCACAAGAAGCTGGGAGTGGGCACAGCCAGGACAGCTGACCCCAAGTGGCCAAAGGGCTAGTCCAGACCATAGCATGTCATGCTCAGTATAGAAACTGGGGAAGCTGGCCAGGGGTAGCGATTGCTGCTCAGGGATGGGCTGGGCATTGGTCAGCAGGTGATGAGCAATTGCACTGTGCATCACTTGCTAATAATAATAATAATATACAAATATTGTCATGGTTAATAGTATTATTACTACTGCTACTATTTTACTTCCATTATTAAACTGTTCTTATCTCAGCCCTCCGGTTCTCTCACTTTTACTCTTCCAATTCTCTCTCCCGCTCCCACTGGGGGGCAGGGAGAGAGTAAGTGGCTGTGCAGTGCTTAGTTGCTGGCTGGGGTTAAACCACACCACCATGCAGCCAGGCTACTCACTTGTTTTATTACCTTGTAAACGGAGACCATCAGCCTGCCCAACAGATGCCACCTGTTTGTACACATTGAAGTGCTCTTATCCCTCAAGCAAGGCAAGATGCAAGTTCCGTCTCTAACTACAAATTACTGGTTCTTTTTGAAGAACTATGTTGACACGTGTTACCTTACAAAAAAGATGTGCAGGGAACCTTGCCGTCTCTAACTTCAAGCATAAAGTTTAAGAATACTGAGGTGACAGACATATGAAGCAAAAACTAGCCCTGGGCTTCCACAGGTGTAGCACAGTGTAGTGGCAAACCCAACTGAGCCACCCTTTTCTGCTATTCCTAAGCAAGGCAGCATGGCAAGAGCATCAATTGCCAAAGGTGACTTCTGGCTGAGAAACTGCAAATTCCCATTTAGCACACTGAAAGCATTCCTCCTCATTGTTCACAAGAGCCAAAATGCAGCAGCTAATGAAACACTTCATTGCTTATGCAGTGAGAAAGCAAAGCTGCGCAGTGCTAATGACGCCACACCGAGAGAAAGCTGATCGCTCTTCTATCGCATTTGTCAGGGAAGAATTCGGATGCCTGCTTTCGTGAGACTTCAAAACAAAGCTTAGTTTTTCTAAGACAAGAAGCTAACCAAATTCATGTAACATGCTTGCTTGCGTGTTACTCACTCTCCTCACTGAACTCAGTGTCTGACTAACACTGCTAAACTTTGTGTTGCAGAGTGTCAGGTCAAACAGTAGTACCAAGCTTACACAAACCACCACCACGGTTGTACATCGCCCAGCCCCAGAGGGTCTCCCTGAGGGTCTCCCTGAGGGTCTCCCTGTCTACAGAAGGAAATCAAGAAATCTGATGCCTCTGAACACAGACACAATTACAAAGCCCGGTCAGAAGCACCAGGTTCCTTCTGTAGAAAAAGCAAGGTTGATCTTTGGAGAACTGGTACCATCCTTCTAGGAATGATGAGACCTAAGCCCGGACAGCCTCAGCCAGTGTTAGTCAAACACCAAGTGACTGGCTGGGTGTTTCAGGGGACCGGTTGGGAACCTCTAATGAGCTGCATTAGTTTTATTTTTTTTTTTTTGCTATGACTTAATATGCAAGGATGGTTTTATCTTTAAAATGCTAGTTTCTTCCCCTTTAGTGAGCTTGGACTAAAAGAAAATGCCATAACCTTTGGGTCAGTTTCAGCAGTAGTTGTTGGTGTACAGCCAGCCCTCAAAAAATAAGCCAAAGACAATATTCAGGGTGTTATCCAGCTGCAGCTTGAAACAGAAAGTTACCTAGGTAAGTGCCTTCAGTAAGTCTACGCAGCAGAGATGAGCCTCTTTCCCCAAGAAGTTTATGCACAGCCCAGGGTGTTCAGGGACACAGTAAGTAACCAAGAACAGCGGTTGCTTTCACAACCCAGCGTTACACGCACTGACCGTTAATTCTTACTCAGCGTGTGCTGGACATGCCTAGCATGGAAGGGAAGCTGGACAA